TCACCACCACCATTATCATCACCGCCACTAAAACCACTATTGCTATAACCACCACCACTACCATCGCTTTTATTATTTTTATAACTATTATAGTTTGATAAAATTATTTTTTTATTATTTTTATTTATATAAAAAATCAGATATTAAAAAAATTTAAATTGTATTCCGATTTCTCATTAGTATACCAAACACGGTATGAGAATATAAATATCATTTTGATTTTTTAATTTTCATTTCGATTTACGTATTTCTATTTCGGAGCTTGCATTCCTTATAACCAAACAACACCCAAGGGATTTGAGCTAAAGGTGTTGCAAATTGAAGTTTAAGTTTAAATTCGAGTAAATTTCATTGTTTAAATTCACCTTGTAGTTTATGATTAGATACACTTTTCATTGGTCAACAATTTAATAATTATCCGAAATATCCTTGCTTTTGTTTTAAAAAGGACCCAAAATAGAGGCGTCATGTACTTCAATTAATTTCATTTATCACTTAGAAAGTTAAAAAAAAAAAAGTATTGGCTACGTTAATATCATAATTTAATATAAAATGAATTTCAACTATTAGATGTATAAGAAAATATGTTATAATAAATAATAATAATTAACATGTCATTTTTTATTAAAAAAACATATGTGTCACCATTAATTAAAAGAATAAAATTAAATAATCACAATAATTTTTTTATTAAAGGTCAAAATTAATTTAAATTATACCAAAAGTATTACAAAAGGTAAAGAAAAATAACAAAATGCTTAATTATCCTAAGCACAACTTGATTGGTATGAAAAAAATCTTTGTGTTTTACAAATTAATAACAAATTTGAAATTGATAAAAATTCACATTGAATCAAGATTTTATAACTTAAAAATACAAGTATAATACTAATAACAATTCATTAATTATTTTTTCTCCTTACATTTATAGGATTTTTCATAAAGTTAATTTGACACTTGAAAATAGATGAAAAAAAAAACATATCATGTACTTGTTCCAAAGTATAATCATTAATGTAGAGAAAAAACATAAATATATAACATATATTTCTTAGCACTTATATTAAATAAAATCTAAATCTAAACTTAGTGTCATACTTTTTCTTAATTTTTATATTTAATGTTTTTTATGTTTTTAACATATTATATCCATTAAAAATAATATTAATATTAATTTCAGGTCGAGTTATTATCGAATTAGATTAAAATAGAATCATATTTGATTCATTTAATAAATAGATAATGGATTCAAATCATAATTAAATTTGAATCATGAAAATTACATATTATATCCATTTAAGAAACAAATTAGTTATTAAGACTAGTAATCCGTACTTTGATCTTTTCACACACAAACGTTGCCCTAACATATGTTCTAATGGAATGATGATTGACTAGAAAGGTTTTAAAACAATTTTCAATGACACCTAATTAATTTTTACATGGATAAATTTTAATTTATTTCCTTAAACTTTATAGGATGTCTCAATATATAATTTTAAAATTTTGTTTCGTTTCGATCACTTTATTCAATTTTTCATTTTATTTATATTTTTTTTTACTCACACATACTTATAGTAGAACTAGTTTGTTAAGATTTGAACTTATGATTTTTTGTTAAAAGAGACCACTACTACTAGATTACAAGCTCTTTATCTCTATTTATGAATTGATGAAAGGAATAACTTGACATTATTCTTGTTTTTATTAATTTCTTAAAGTTTTGGAAAAAAATTTCAGACAATCATCATTTTTCAATTAAAAAAAATGGCTTTATCAAAATCTAAAAAGATGATATGCATTTCTATTCTACACCCCGAAAGTTAAAAAAATTAATCACAAAAATTTTGTAATATTAAATACTTCCTATATGCACTATTAACATCTAACTTCTTTTAGCGATATTTTCTTTTTCACTCAGAATTGTACTCTCTCTTTTTTCAGTATTATATTTCTTAAATTCATAAACTTTTAAGTATTTGAGACAATAGTAATTTTAAATTGAGACAATATTCAAACTAGAAAAAGGGCAACTGAGACAAAACAAAGTGCAATGCTGAACATGGATCCAATGGACCTGTCATGGTCTTAGTCCAGTAATATTCTGTACCATCCTGTCTTTGTGTGGAGTAACTAGAGAAGAGCATTCATGTGGTGCATGTACCTGAAGGGCCCGTGTTGATTTTGTTACCGGGCATCTATTTTTCCAATCTCGTATGGTTAGTGTGATTTTAATTAATTAAACATAAACTGCAAGAGAACCAATAAAGAGGTAGGTAAGCTAGCTAGGTATACATGACATGACAACAATAAAAAGGATCATGAACAAACAAAAAAACTCACTTTTTTTTCCCACAGTGAAAGGCAAATTACAAACAAAAGAGAAAGGAGGAGGAGTAGCTGGTAGTGGTGGAGGAAGTTGAAGTTGAGGTGGAGGCGGTTGAAGTTGAGAGGGAGGGGAGATGTGATTGGATCGATGTGGGGTTTTGTCCTTCGGATAAGAAATAGACTTACAGGAAGTGACATCCAATTAATGGGTCCCATTGGTCTACCCATGCAACCAGCATTGGACCCAATAGAGCCATAGTTTTTCGTTTCCACCATGAATATTTTCTTGCCACGCCCAACTGGTACGAGGCCATTGCTGGGTTGCTGGTCAAAGACACTGGAGCCCTCCTCCACCTCTCATGTTGCACTTGTTTTCGGCTATGTTTTATGATAAAAAATAATATAAATCATATTATTTTGTTTTTATTTTCAGCTATTTTTATGATAGAAAATAATATAAATCATATTATAAGATTTTATTTAATAGTTTAAGCTTTTAAATAAAATTATTTTTTAACATCGTATTAGAGTCTTAATGATCAAATTATCGTAAGTTCGAATCCTATTATTTTTACTTTCTTTTATAATTAATTAAACACAAGATATTATAGATCTGTGTAAGTTTTAAATCTAAAAACTTTCATTAAGAGGGTATGATAAACAATAATATAAATCATATATTGTAACGGTAATCCTTTGAGGAAAAAAAAAAAAACACCCACTTTTTTTTAACTTTATAATTGTCTTTAAATTTGTGTACATGGCTAGACAGTGAAACACAAGTAAAAGACAGTACCAGTCCAATCGATCTCTTTGAAAAATTCAGCATCTTTTTAATAACCTCACTCACAAAAATCTTGTTTTCATCCTTAATTTTCTCTCTCTAATTTAAGATTGGGTCTTTTTTATTCAAAAATAAAAAAATAAAAATAAAGGTTCTGATATCTTCTTTCCAATATAGAGATCATCCAATAATGGATGATAATTTAGAATCGATTGAGTTATAAAAATTTTACACTATTCTTTTACCAACATATAAAGATTGACACTTTCTTTTATTTATTTATTATGTTCATTAAGTTTAAATAAAAAAAATCAAATTAATCGAGCATGATTTACTTTAAATTCTATGCATGGTGGGATTTGATGGTTCATGATTTAGTTCCAAGATAGAATCCAAAAGGCCTATGCTCTCCATGTGTGAGCCAAACTGAAGACATAGAATAAGTCTAACTAGCTAGTACAAAAGTCTCGAAAAAATTGGCTTGAAAAGAGAGCGAGGAGGGTCCTTGAATTGGTGGGATTTGCGTAACAAAGGGATGACATCCCTGAAGCTTTGCTCCCACTCCCTCGCCCACGTCCCCACACCATAAAACTTATCTGTCTGTTTGTATATTTATTTATTTATTTTTTTTTGGGATGTTTTTGTTAGCTTGTGTGTGGCCTGTGGTCCCCACAGCTCCCACTACGTGTCGGTTTGGAATTACACTCGTCCGCCCATCAATGGTTCAATTCTGAGTTCGCTTCGTGATCGATCAGCTACGCTCATCACCTCCCAGCTTCTCATTCTCTAACCAACATTGCATGGCTTTGTCCACCTACGCATGAGCTCGGTTAAAACAACAATGGTTAATTAGATAATCACAATAATCAAAATTACTAATCAACCCTTCAGCTTTCCATTACATGTTGCATCCTAATTGGAGAGTAACATAAAGTAAACATAAACTCCTTGCTACTTAATTCTAGCCCTAGATACCCATCGGGGTATATAATGACTCTCTCTCCCCCTTTGTCCTTTTAAAAGAAAGGTCATGCCACCTCTATGCAACATTTGAACTACCTCTCTAAATTGTAGCATGTTCTCTGAACATATTAAACCCTCTAAATCTCACAACTCCTCCTCAATTTCTCTAATTCACCACTTCAACAATGGAAAGCACTGATTCCTCCGCAGGTGGTGCCGGCGGCGGCTCCCACCAACCAAACCTGCCACCAGGGTTCCGGTTCCACCCCACAGATGAAGAGCTAGTCGTTCACTACCTCAAGAAAAAGACCACTTCTGCCCCCCTCCCTGTGGCAATAATTGCTGAAGTTGATCTTTACAAGTTTGATCCATGGGAATTACCAGGTGACATCCAATTCTTGTTAATTATTGTCTGCCATATACACACCCGAATTTAAGGCCTAATAAATGATGGATTCATCTTAATTGTTTTCAGCCAAGGCCACGTTTGGTGAACAAGAATGGTACTTTTTCAGTCCGAGGGACCGGAAGTACCCGAATGGAGCTAGGCCAAACAGGGCAGCAACTTCAGGGTATTGGAAGGCTACAGGAACTGACAAGCCAGTATTAACTTCAGGGGGTACACAAAAGGTTGGGGTTAAAAAAGCACTAGTCTTCTATGGTGGTAAGCCTCCTAAAGGGATCAAAACCAATTGGATCATGCATGAATACCGGTTAACTGATAACAAAGTCAATAACAAGCCACCAGGATGTGACTTGGGAAACAAGAAAAACTCTTTAAGGGTAATTAATAATCACTTTCTACAAAGTTTTTTTTAATTGCATATATGTTGCCTTTTTTACTTTCAATACTTGTCGAGAACACAGTAGGCCGACTAATTGTCATTAATACTGTTTGTTTGTTTGTTTTTACCTTTCTTTCTAGCTTGATGATTGGGTGTTATGTCGAATATACAAGAAAAACAACACACAGAGACCAGTGGATCACGATAAAGACGATTCCATGGATGATATGCTTGGATCAATACCGCCTTCGCTATCAGTCGGTGGCCATCAGAATGGAACGGTGCATCTTACAAAAGGCACAAACTATGGGGCATTGCTTGACAATGAACAGAATTTATTCGAAGGAATAATAGGCAACAATGGTACCAGAAGCAGCAGTTCTTCTATGTCTCACATGGCCTCTTCAGTATCCAAGTTAGACCTACCTATGCTTCCACTCAAAAGAACACTCTCATCACTGTATTGGACCGACGAGGACATGGTTGGCCCTTCATCAAGTAAGAGATTTCAAGGGGATATAATTAATGGTGATGAAAGTGTCGTGAGGACTGATGGGGATAGTTCCATAGCCACTCTGCTCTGCCAACTTCCACAGACACCTCAATTGCACCAGCAGACAATGCTGGGGTCTGTGGGAGATGGAATTTTTAGGCCATCGTATCAAATTCCAGGCATGAATTGGTACTCTTAAATTCATCTTAATTCATTGGTCTATGCATATATTATATTTTAGGCCTATGAATCGATTCCCGGTGGATAATCTGAAGCAGTCAAATGGTGATCATGTTGCGTACTTGTTTATAGATACGGTCGTGATTAATTAGTAGTTGTATCATCTTCCCATAAGGGTGTTAAGATTTTGATGGTTAGGTCCAGTTTCTTCAAACGAAACATTTAGCTGCCAATCTGAAGCCAAGCCATAGATATAGATCATATAGATGGAGATATATATAGTTGCATATTTATTTTATACATGTTTGGCTTTGTCATATTGTTATTTAGGGAAGCAAAGAAAAATGGGAGGTGGGATCCTGATGTTGTAGAAAAAATAAAATTGTTGATCAGTGATATTTATATTTTGCTTTAGGATACGATCGTTTAATCCTTGTATGCACAACAGTATATACTTACTAAAAGTTGCTTATGTATTCCAAAAATATGGAGTACCTGTTATATATGGTTTGCCTTTGGTAAAGTATATTTGTGTTCTTCATCTTGGTGATTTAATAAAATTGTCACTATTGAGTTGCTTTTATTGCTTGCTCAATGATGCTTGACGTTTGAAGGTGACATGCTTGGCTCTTTTGCATTTTGTGGCATCTATGTTTTGGTGAATGCATAAACCCTAGAAGGTAAAAGATCTTAGTTCTTTAGGTTACTTTATCTTTTCCAGGCATATTCATGTTTGTGAAGAAATCTACACAAAAACATTTATAAATTGTGATTATGGCACTAGAATAACTCATTTTCTTAGGAAATTTTGTTCTTGAAATTTCCTTTATTTTATTTTTCTCAACACGTTAAATTATAATTGAGAAAATAGTTCAAAACTTTGTGATTACTATCTTTACTGGAGCACATAAATCCAGGTCTATAGGCTTTTGAGCTATATAACGAAGATAGCTCTCTCCCATTATATAATCACCAAACAACATAAAATTATAATTAGATTTTGATCTTTATTTCACTTGAGATGAAGGTAATCAGATTAAGCCTACTTGTACAGAAATTTGATAACTTTTATAGTATAGAATTGTGACATTCAAATATTTATCATAAGAAAAGACAAATCATTAATTAGTAGCATTCATAAGTAAATACTTATTGGTTGAGAAAGAAAAAAATAAAAAATAAAAAGCAAATTAGCTAATTAATAAGATTGAAATCCGGCCATTTTACTATTACTGACTAGTTTCTAATTTATCGTTCCCATCTAGCTATCTTTATGGTCTTGGAGTTCCTCTATATACCTGCTTTTTTTTTTTTTTTTTTATAATATTGAAATATGATTAATACATCACAAAAATATAGATAACACAAAGAAAAATAAATGCTGCTGATGTATCATCTCTAGATCGATGTTTAATATATGATATAGCAACGTGACAAAATTGACACCTATGGTTGTCGCATGAGAGAGATTGAATATGATCTCGTGAGTAATAAGCGAAATGAAAAAAGATTTGGTAAGTCGAAAATGAAGTTTACTAACCTCTTCTTTATTATTTCATAGTGCAAAACTATCAAAAATGGACATAACTTAAGGACTAAGGTTTATCTTAATGCTGACTTTACAATCTTGATACTTATAGTTTGCAAAACCAAATTATATATTTACCAAGCTTTGCTATTCTCTCTGAAAATAATAATAATGAAGAGCTTGTTTGGATTTTACATACATCTCTATCTTGAAAGATACTCTTGAATAGTTCCTTACAAGGATTTTCCATCATCTTTATTTTGTATGGAAAGCTAAGGAGGGTAGCACATGAGAGCTTTCTAATAAATATGCTTCTAGAAAAAACAAGCTATAGCTAGGGATTATTGATCGAATTATAGAAATTGAGCTGATTTTCTAAAAATTAATTAAATTGTGTCTTTGGTATAATCTCCAAAAGAATGCTAAGATATTTGAGGGTGGGTGTCCTTTTCCTAATTTCATCTGCGAAGTGATGATTGATTAGACATAGATAGCTAAGTATATTCCATGAACTAGCAAGAGGCAAGGGTCACACAAGTACTGACAACAAGAGGCTACCTCACAAATGGCTTTTCTCTTGCTGACTATGGGACCATCTCACTATCATCGAAAGGAATCATTATCTTAAAACCACACAAAATTAATGTCCCCTTTAATTTCATTCCTTTCCAAGGAAAGCGTACAAAACAACTTTTAAAAAAATTCAATTCTTTAGTGCTTAATTTTGGAATGTAAATTGATATTTGATAAATGTGCCATCATCGATTGATCCCAATCTCTTTTTTCGGATGATGCTTTCTATTAATTAAGCCTTGAAAGCGTTGCAAAATATAATTTATATGAAATTATTTTATACTAGTTATAATTAGCTTCCTCGTTAATCTTTTTTGACATACATGCTTACGTACATGGATTCATATTTATACTTACATGTGGCTCGCTCGATCTCCTTTGATCCAGACCTTACAAGCATAAAATAATAATTAACAAGTTGAGGGGTTAATTATCAGTCCTTTTTTCGGTTTTCATGCTTTGATAAAATCATGAGAGGTCATGCTGTTGAAATTAATAAGAGAGCATTTTTCGAATGAGAGTAAATTGTGCATATCCAGCTGGTCTTTATCTATTGAAAGATGACCATTGTCAACGTAGATATGCAGTGTTCAAGAATGCAGTTTCATTTTCATAAATGAAGGTACCAAAAAGATGGGGTTCTCATTGATGAGGCCATGTCCAGCCAACTAATATTCTATAAAATAGGCCCATGATTGAAGCTGAAGAACGGTCAAGAGAGATTAACATCTAATTCTGGCTACGACCCACAAATTGACAGATGGCTCCTGATCTGTTTCAGCCAGAAAAGTACCCTGGACCATTGATGATTTAGTTGACAATGGCCAAGTTGCCCTTTAATCCTGGCTTGTTATGGTAATCGGTAGGCACAAGATTAGCAATTTGTAGATCATAATTGATCATTCAGCGATGCCCCACAAGGAACAAGGAAATAAAGATTAAGCTAATTAAACATATTTGTCAATCATCATCATGGTATGGATAAAAATTGAGGACTCGGGTTGCGGATAGCTGGCAGTGGGTTGGGCTTGGAATAATTGAATGTATATGTGTCCTCCACCAATGACCTCTTCAATATTTAAAAACTCTTTTATAAATTGTTTTTAATTAAAAAATTTATTAGCGATTTCTCTTGAAAATAGCAGGCTTATTTGAAAATTGAAAATAAAATAAAAAGTTCGAAAAAAACCCAATTCGAAAACCTTATGGCTACATCAAATTGGCAAAAACTTTGTGTAAATAATTTGGCAAAATCGACATTAAAATAGTTACATGTAGCCAATTTAATCCAAGCTTTTTCAATTGTTAATAAAAATCTATTTGTTATATTAAAACTTATTGAATTGGAAGATATTAGTCACGTGCAAAACAACTTTAACCAAGATGTTTTTATCTTTAACTTTTAAAATAATTAAAATAAACTTAAAGATTTACAAGTTTTCACTTTTTATTTTTTTCAATTCTATTATTTGAGGATTTTTTAATTAGAAATTAACATGATTATCATGTAATTTGTTAATAAGTCAAATTTAAGTAGAGTAATTAGTCAAAATTGTGTGTCACATGAATTCTTATTAATAATTAAAATTATTTGGATCAGATTGTTTAAATGTGATAAATATAAAATCAAAATTTTAAAAATATTTACATAGTATTTAATTTATTGAGTTTAATACGAACACATAATATCAAAATAGGATTATTATTTTTTCAAAAAGTTTTTTAAAACGGGGGAAAAAATATGCCAGATATATAGATTTGGATGAACTCATGCCAACACCAGTCCACCGTAAGTCTAAGATGCTGGATAAAATTATCAATCCTTAATATTTACCCCGAATAGGAGTGGCTGGCCTAGGGGCCCATTGGGCTTTATTGAGAGAATTAATTTCGTCCAAATTACTGATTAAGAGAAATGGTCATTCACTCTTTTACGAATAAAGCATTGATTAAAATACAAAGAAATTTTATATTGTTTCGAAAGTAATTATTAATCATTAAAAAAAAAGACATAAAAAGAGAGAAAAGAGAAAAAGAAAATATTTTTCATGTCTATATGAGAATTACAAAATCATTTTTAATGGATTCGATACGATTTTCTACAACACTTAATTTTATTTCATTCAGTTTAACATATTGTCGTAATTCTTTATATATATATATAATCTCTCCTAAATTTTAGAATCATGAAAAACATTTTTTTTTCACTATTTGATTCTTCTCTTTTTAAGTTTGCCTCTTTTGGTTATTAGATAAGAATTAATGATTATTTTTTAAATAATTTAAAATTTGTATGTATTTTAATCAATGCTTTATTCATAAATGTGTAAATGAATCTTTTTTTTTTTTTTAAATTTGTTTACTTGATTTGGGTGAATGTATCTTTAGATTATTTTTCAAATTGAAGTAGAAACCTTTTTCATTTAGATCTTAGACACATCATCAATATCCAAAAATTGAAGCATTAACAAAAAAAATGTTTTTTTTTTCATTGCAAATTACCACCTAATTAAACACCTCAAAAGGTGAAAGAAAAACAAGCAAACGAAATTACTATAACTTGCCAATGATTTCTTGGTATTTAGGAGTCATTATGTACGATTCCTATCAAGTTTGAATTGGCAAAAGAAATAAATGTTAGTAAGAGGAGTAGGGAGGAAAAAAAAAAAAAAAAGGAAGAAGAAGAAGAAACATGAAGGTTCCGTTCAAAATCGTAGTTGGAGTTGGTGGCTGCCACAGAAAACACTGATATGCCGAATAAAACAATGTGGTTTTGACTAGTAGTCTAAATTTTGAAAGTCCAAAATAATGGCTTTGAATCCCACCAAGCCCTCAAATGACACACTTCCACGTGCTTAACAAAAGTCAAGGTCTTCTTGCCAAGTCCAACCATATGAAATCACGAGAAAGTTTTCAAGAAAAGCCTTGTCAAAAGATGCATGATCGTATTACCATATAAAAAACACTTTTAACGCATGAGAAGCCAACTGTGGCAACATAATTCTCTCATACCCAGCTCAAAATCATACCTCTCTCTCTTTCTTGGTTCACAAAATGGAAACCATCTCCCAAAAACAGACCAGAGGAAGGCTACAACTTCCTGCAAGACAGTCACTTGGTGAGGGCAATAGGGTCAGAAGAAATAATCAAGTAGCATCAATATCTCCTAGGCTACGGTCAACTTGTGCGTGCTCAAACCGTCCGGGATCAGTCAGGTGTAGCAAGCATGGCTACTTGGTGCCTAGTGACAAGTTAAGAAAACATCAAGCAAATAGAGAGATATTAAGGAGGGCATTAGCACCAACAAATCAGAGGCTAACCCTTCGTTGGTTAAACTTCCGGCCAACGCCTAGTCGGCTTTCTAACATGTCCATGGCCTAGTTTATTTGCAGTTGTTTGTTTTTTTGTTTTTGGAATACAGGTTGGGTTTTCTGTATTTATCTCAAGAAATGATTTTGTCTATATGTAAATCAATTAAACAGCAATTCTTTTTTCATTTGTCTTCATTTCTCCACTTCGTAAATATGGCATCCTTGTTTTCAAGTTTCTGGGAAATTATATACCTGCTTTGATAGCCAATATATTTTTTGACACTTCATACGGTATTGGTATCCTTTGTCGAAGATTCAATTCAGATCAAGAAATTAGTTATTGAATTTGTGTTGGCAGTAGAGATTCATAAGGTTGACCTGTTCAATCCTTGCTGTTGAAAAGAGGGATGACTTCTTCAAAACTCGATCGCACGAAATTCTTAAGGCTGGCCTTTTTCTTTTTTGGTGTTAAAAAGAGGGATGATCTGGTATTCTCCAATTTCATTAAGAATAGAAATATCCCAGAAAATAATAACAGTAAAAGCTAGAAAATGGTTTAAGTGCTTTTTTAGTGCCAGGATGTAGCAATAAAAGCAGACGTTTTATTGCTTTTTGAAGATGCTATTTGGACAAGGGCACTAAAATGTATGCAGATACTATGTGGATGGAATCACGATGCTGTAGGACTCAGAGGAACAGAGGATGCGTTTTTAAGTCCACAGAGATAGCTTAACCAATACGGAAAGCTTAAGAATTAAGTTCGAAGGTCTTAAATTCATACGGTATCAGGACAGGATTGTCCTTTGGAGGATAATCTTGTGGAGACCCTAGTCTTTGCTTGACTACCACTTGCTGCTTACCTTCTTACTTGCAATGCTTACAGAGACAAGCGTTCAGGTTAGTCGAAAATGTCAGGAGGAAAAGAAAATCATTCCTCTTCGGATGTAGAGGTAATAACACTTGTGCAATATCGATTTATTTCATTACAATGTCTCATCCTGCTTTATCTGTAACGCCAAACATGTAGGGACAGTCGGTCTGAACGTATGTAAGCTTTCAGACCTTAAATTGTGAATGCTCTGCCTTTTGGCATTATGTTCCCTCCTTGTTAGTGTTGAGGGAAGATTGCAGGAACAGAATGAAAGTAACAGAGATGAGAGGATGTAAACTCTTGTAGAGGAGTCTACAAAAGGGAACCTACGACAATTTCAAGAACAGACCAATAAACGAGTCATTGCACTACGTAACAGCAGTATATGGTTCCTAGAATCAAGGAACAACTTACAATCTATTCAAATTAATTTGTACAGATTATGTTAGCTCTTCATATTCTTTTTTTTTTTTTCTTTCTTTTTTCTTTCTTTTTTTCTTCACCATGGCTGCTAATAACACACACTCTGCTCCCACTATTTGCAATACCAACGATCCTCAAAATACATTAATCACAATCAATATGTCTGCCCAAACACCTTTAAAACTCACAACCACCAATTATTTATCCTGAAAACTTCAATTTGAAACTCTCTTTATTGGGTATGATCTCCAAGGTTTTGTTGATGGTTCAAAACCATGCCCATCTCCCACTATCACAAACAATAACACCACTTGCAGCAATCCTGCTCACATTCTTTGGGTCAGACAAGATAAACTGATCCTCAATGCTATAATTTGCTCCATTACTCCAACCTTATAGCAAATTCCAAAACCTCAAAAGATGCTTGGGATACTCTAGCCAAAACATATGCCACACCTTCAAGAGGATGTATCAAGCAAGTTAAAAACCAAATCAAACAAATGACCAAAGGGTCTGACACAATAACCGAGTTTCTATAGAAGGTGAAAGCAAGAGCTGATGAGTTAGCTCTTCTTGGATCTCCGTTTGATAACGAAGATCTCACAGACAAAATCCTTGAAGCTCTCGGTGATGGCTACAAGGAATTGATACGGGCAGTGCAAGCAAGGGACACTATCATTACATTTGAAGAGTTGCATGATAAACTCCTTAATTTTGAAGCATCTTTGGTCAATCACAAACAGGAAACACCCTTTCCTATTACTGCTCACGTATCTACTCGCACCAACTCAACTTGGAGATCCAACAGTAGAAACTTCAACAACAATTCCTTTTCTGCGAATCCCAATGCTGGTCAAACAAAGACATCACAATTCTGGACATCGCCCATAACGTCCATATTTGGGTTTCTGCCAACTTTGCCGCATTCAAGGGCATACAGCCAAGAAATGTCCTTCCTCCAAGCTGCAGCCACTACAACAAAATCACAAGAACTCTAACGCTCCATGGCAGCCCAAGGCAAATTATGCCTCAAACTCATCCAGTAACTCCTCATGGCTACTTGACAGCAGAGCTTCACATCATGTCACCGCTGATTTGGAAAATCTTGCCTTTCATGCGCCTTATCATGGCAATGATGATATGATGATAGGCGATGGTTCAGAGTTACCTATAACTTATTCTGGTTTAACAACTCTCTCAACTCCCCATAAAAATTTTCATTTAAACAATGTTCTTTGTGTTCCAACCATAAAAAGAAATTTGATTTCAATTTCTCAATTTTGCAAATCAAATAATGCTACTATTGAATTCTTACCTGATTCTTTTCTTGTGAAGGATCTCAACACAGGGGTACCACTGCTGAAAGGCCAAACTAGAGATGGTGTATATGAGTGGTCGAAATCTAGTCCTGTTCTTGCTTTCTCCAGTGTCAAGGCGTCAACTTTTGAGTGGCACAATAGATTAGGCCATCCATCAAAGTCTATTTTAAAGCATATTCTCTCCAAAAATAGCTTGAGTTTGTCCTCCTCTTTTTCAAATAATGTCTCATGTAATGCATGTTTATGCAATAAAAGTCACAAACTCTTTTTTTCTACGTCTACTGTCACTTCATCTCATCCACTTGAAATCATATATTCTGATGTCTGGACATCACCCATTTTTTCTGTTCAGGGTTACAAATATTATGTGATTTTTGTAGATCATTACACACGGTATATATGGTTTTATCCTCTCAAAAACAAATCGGATGTCAAAGAAGTCTTCGTAAGGTTTAAAAACATAGTGAAAAAACACTTCAATCACAATATTAAAATCTTATATTCTGATAAATGGGGAGAATATGTATCCATGTCCAATTTTCTTTCTTCAAATGGTATTTCTCACCACACTACACCACCCCATACACCTGAACATAATGGTTTAACAGAACGTAGGCATCTTCATATAGTTGAAACGGGTCTTGCTTTACTATATTCATGCATCTCTTCCTACAAAATACTGGTCTCATGCTTTTTCCACTGCCGTATACCTCATAAATCGTATGCCAACTCCCACACTAAATCTTAGCTCACCGTATGAGAAAATATTTGATAAGACTACTAACTTTGCAAAACTCAAAATTTTTGGATGTCTATGTTATCCCTGGTTGCAACCGTACACATCACATAAGTTAGACTCAAATTCCAAACCTTGTGTTTTCATTGGCTATTCTCTCTCTCAAAGTGCGTATTACTGTTTGAATCCTAAAACATTAAAGATATTTGTATCTAGGCATGTTAGGTTTGTGGAGTCAGTCTTTCCTTTCTAGGTTATAACTTCTCAAGAGTCTCAATCTGTCTCAAATTCCATATCCACCTGGATTCCGCCACCTCTAAAGATAACTACATCGTCTACTCAATCTCTCATTACGCCATCAATGGTGAAAGTCTCATAGCAACCCCAACAACCAACCAATATCGTCACTATACCACCTACCGAACCCCAAACACAAACAAACACAACTACACATACCATGGTCACCAGATCAAGGAACAACATTCATAAGCCAGTTCGAAAGCTGAATCTTCACACTCAACTTTCTACCTTTAATGATCTTGAACCAGTCACAGTTTCTCAAGCTCTAAAAGACCCAAAATGGAGAAAAGCCATGTCAGATGAATTTAATGCCTTGATTACAAATGGGACTTGGGAACTGGTTACCCCAGATAATAGCTACAATCTTGTTGGCTGCAAATGGATTTTTCGTACTAAACGAAACTCTGATGGCTTTATTGATAGGTACAAAGCCCATTTGGTTGCCAAAGGATTCAATCAACGTCCAGGAGTGGATTATCATGATACCTTCAGCCATGTAGTGAAGCCAACTACAGTCAAACTTGTCTTAAGCATTGCAATAATGAATGGGTGGCAATTAAGACAGTTGGATATCAACAATGCTTTTTTATAAGGGACTTTATTTGAAGATGTTTACATGGCTCAACCTTCAGGTTTTATTGATAATGACAAACCAACACAGTTTGCAAGTTGCAAAAGGCAATATACGATCTCAAGCAAGCACAACACGCGTGGTACCAAGAACTTCGCAACTATCTGGTTCAAGTTGGATTCATAAACTCGCTTGCAGATACATCTTTGTTTGTTTATAAAGATGCTACTCATATTATTTATCTCATTATGTATGTTGATGATTTGATTATTACTGGGTGCAATGTTACCGTGGTAGATGATTTTATTGCAATCCTTACGAAGAAGTTCTCTCTCAAAGATCTTGGACTCTTGTCTTACTTTCTGGGAATTGAGGTTTTACCTACTACTGAAGGGGTCATTCTCTCTCAATGGTGATACGTTCTGGAATTGCTTGCTAAAGCTAAGATGCTTGAGGCCAAAATAGTTCAAACTCCATTAGCTGCCAACATGACTCTCACACTGGATTCAGGTACAAATTTGACTGATGCTATAGAGTGTAGAACTGTTGTGGGAGGTCTTCAATACTTACTAATTACCCGACCAGACATTGCATTTGTTGTCAATCGCCTATCTCAATACATGCACAAGCCAGCAATAGAACATTGGGCCTATGTTAAACGCCTCCTGCGTTATTCTCTTGGGACTGTTTGTGATGGTATACAATTGTGTCACAATTCCAACCTCCATTTACATGCTTTTTGTGATGTGGATTGGGGAGGTAATAAAGATGATTTCACATCTACTGGTGAATATGTTGTTTGTTTAGGCAAGAATCCAATATCATGGAGTTCAAAGAAGCAATGAACTGTGGCACGCTCATCCACTGAGGCAGAATATAGGTCAGTTGCTAATACAGCTGCTGAGCTTCGTTGGGTCTGTTCTTTACTTTCAGAATTGCACATTTAGTTGCCTACCTGTCCAGTGATTTATTGTGACAATGTTGGAGCTACGTAACTTTGTTCTAATCCTGTGTTCCACTCTCGCATGAAGCATGTTGCGATTGATTTTCATTTTATTCGAGATTTAGTTCAAAGTGGTGCTATTCGGGTGGCCCATGTTTCCTCTGCTGATCAGCTCGCTGATGCTTTAACAAAAGCTTTACCTCACCCACAGTTTCATCTATTCAAAGCCAAGATTGGACTTTGTCGCCGACGTCCATCTTGAGGAGGCATAACAGCAGTATATGGTTCCTAGAATCAAGGAACAACTTTGTAAATCTATTCAAATTAATTTGTACAGATTATGTTAGCTATTTTCCTATAGAATAGGATATTGTGGTGTATAACCTGCTGTATATATTCTTGTTTCAAGTTCAATAAATATATACAAAATTCCATCCTATTTCTTACTGTGTTACTACGAACTTTTAACTGGAAGATGTCTGGATTGTTACGATAGAGACGACAAATCAATCATTCATGCGAAAGCCTCTCATGCCCCAATTGCTCTGTCATCCACTTCTTTCCTTCCCTTCTTTAATAGCAATGTCACTGCCACTCAATTTTCCTTTTCATAGAAGAGGGCGACTCTGGTTGCAACTAAACATTACTATGTTGTTAACTGTCTGCTGGTTTAATAATGAAGCTGCCATTGGATGGCTTATATCAGATCAGAGAGAGGGAAAATGGAGCAATCTGTGTTGTATGTTTCATTTAGGTGATGAGGCATTTCTGTTTCTGTATGCGCACGGGAAAATTCTATATCCCCTGGAAACTTTCCAGTACTATGGGATTTTAACATTTGTTAGGAACGTAATGGTATCTCAAGAAGAGTACAACAATCATCATATAAACATAAATATGCAAGGTTGCAAGATGGGTGGGGTATATACGGTAGCCAAGTCTGTCCAGCAACTTTCCGCGTTGCTGTTTTTGCAGCAAGAGACGATGATGATCATGTTGCAGATTACTCTCTCAAACTCTAGTGACTGAATTGAGCAATTATCCTGTTTTCTAGTTTTGCCCGTACTTTCTGACACTTCCTCTACTCCTGTTAAGGTAAAAAACAAGATGGATTAGAAAATGAAAAAGAAAAATGAAAGCATGTCATAACTTTCTAGTGCAGCCATTTGCGTATCCAAATAAGACAATAGAAAACAGTTCTGCAGTATACCTCAGGGGAACTGGACAGAGAACTGGAAGAAACGTCTACTGCTGCCTCTGATATTCTTGCTTCTGATTTCTCGTTTGAATAACTACCAAAAAGAAGAAAAAAAAAAAAAATCAACAGTTTTAGAACTTCAGACTCAAGTCGAAACAAAATGAATCCTTTATCACCGGACCAACACTGTAATTGTTTATTTATTTATAGATGTCTCAAACCCAGAAATGGGCAGTGCTTTCAGGAAATGGACAAGACGGAATAAGGACAGAGAAGAGTTTGCTGTGCCATGTCAAGGACACATATTCACATATCCAGAACTAAGTAAACTGGAAGATTCTAAAGCAATCTCTAGCAGTACTGCTAGGAGGGACCACTGGAGTTCTCCAAACCAGAAATTCATGTGAGAAATAAGGCAACAAAAAACTCAGATCACATATATATCCAGATTTCACTCAGAAATATTTTGCAAATCGAAATTATCTCTTTCTTAGAAATAGCATAGCGTATCTAGGTTGTGTATTAGAAATACTAACAGTTTGTTCGAATAACCGGAACTCATTACTGTTAATTAATCATCTAGCATGCTTCTCTAATCAGAGTTCCCAGGAAAAGAGTCCATTAATATTTTTCCAGCCTTCATTACCTAAGGAATGACAGTTCAGAAAGAAACATTATATATGCTACTCACGTGGACAGTATGGTCACCCAGATGAGTTCTATACAGTCCACCCAAAGGAGTCTTTGTTCTACAGGGATCACACCATATGTAATAAGATGAGCAAATGGCCAAAGCTTCCATCCTGCCTGCACAGCAAACCACATAAAAGAATATAAAATTAAGACAAGTTGCGAACAAGAAAAACCAACAACTAAAGTTCATATGATTTTGTCAAACAATCCAAGCAACAAACAAAAACCACAAATCAAGCATAGAATTTGGCTTAGATAAATGGAAAACAAAAAAACCTCCTCAATACTTGACCATTTTGAACAGAAAATCAACAAATCAGAAACTTGTCGAGTTGAAGCTTGACAATTAGAAAACATTTGTGCACTCATTCAAGTGTTAGAATAGTTGCAAAATAAACATTTAATTATGGATAGAAAATAGCCATCCAAATGAGACCACCATGCATAATAACTTCATGGGTCTCAAACATCCAACAATTAATGCAGAAAGGAAACACTCAACTAGCAATGTGGTTTCGCCAGATCCTAGTCTTCCCAACTCCATCAGCATATACCAGGTGATAATAAGAACAAATACTAGAACAAAGTTTGGTTCTAGACACACAAAGAGGAAAGGGCAGAAGGTTCTCTTACTGTAAGCATAGGCCAGAATGTAGCCGTCAGTTCACTGAAAATGCTGCTGGGTGATTCTAGACGCAAGAATCCCAAGACCGTGAAATAAATGCTGTTCCAAACTGCTGCCCACAAAGTTTGGTCAAAGACCACTTTGGCAGGAACCACCCACCAATCTTCGAATGGAAAAAGCTCCTATAAAGCAGTAAATTGATTGAGTAAATAGCTGAAAAAGTCATTAAACCTATTAAACAGCAAAAAGATAAATATGCTAATCACCTCACAAAACTGGTAATAGTAATGTGAAAGGGAGCCATGTAACGTAAAGCCAACAAGGCCTGATCTAAACATTCTTGTGCGGTCGAACTCAAAGAGTGGCTCACCTTCATAGCACTGAGATGAAACAGAAACAAATAAGTAAAAAAAGGACGAATATACAACAAAATAAAATATTAAAATACTGGTTTCACAGCATTTACAAACCTGTGCAATCCAATCCCCAACAGAGTAGACTACACCACTAATCATCATTTTCGCTAAAACGGGGTTTGTCTTTAAAGCTTCCTCATAAGCAGACCAGCTGTGTTGAGGTGCATATCTTAGTATCTCAAAGAGGGTCCACCCCTGATAGAAAAGAGAAAATTAGATCTAGAAGATCTAATCGATACCAACTACGGAAATTAGCAATGCACAAAAATTAAAAGAAAATAAAAAACACATTCAATTATGTCATCCAGAAATGGCAAAGGAATTGAGGATAAAAAAAAACATAAATGGCAAGCAGCATCTTAAATATAGATCACACCAAAAAGGTTTGAATGAATTGAGTTAAAAAAAATCAGAATACAAATCAAAGGTTTTAATGAATCTTCTGCACAAGAAACCAAGAATTCTCTCAACTCGATCTCAAGCTGCATATGTTTAAGCCATAAGTCCCAAAATTCTTTTAATACCGAAACCAAAATTTTTCTAGCATTCTTAGTCTCCCACTAAAACCTTCAGCTTCCATATAATCAGATCTTAATTGCGTAACTCTGAGCCAGAGGACTCAAATGCAAAGGGAAAGGTAATACACATGACCAAAATCAAATTGCTCCAACGCCAAGAAAATTGAAATCGATTTGAAGCTACTTTTAATTTCTCAAGGAATGCTATGCATGAAGCATGAAGAGCATTCCTAAAATAATGAATGAAAAAAAAAAAAAATGAGGCACCTTTGCAATGTCCAACCATAATGAACAGAAACAAATTTCATATTTAGCAACAAAACAATAAAAACAAAGCCGTAAATAAGATATAAAGCAAACAAGTATGATTTGTTCTAAATACACATAACGAGCTTTTACTTACATGCCAATAATTATGGTCAATTGTGAGCAACTTGGTAATTGCATAAGTACCAGCAGCAAGAACAATCATTGCATTGATGGTCCGATCAATTAACCTCTCGGACTCCGATTCCCTCTCTCTACTCTCTCCATCAAGACCAGAACTTGAAACTGAAGAAAATCCTTCAAAAGATAACTGCCCTTCACTCCCCCCAAACCCACTCACCTGAGTAGCCAACTCGGTCCCTTCTCTCTCTAATTGACTCGCTAACATCCCTTCTTGATGGTCTACAGTATCACCACTTTGTACTGGAATGACATCAAGCTCTCCTTGGACAACAGAATTCAAGTGCCAGCTCTGTTTGTTTCTGGAGAAAGCTTGGCTCTTTGGCAATTTTGGGCTGAGAAACTGAGGGTTCTGCGGGTTTTTTGAAATGGGTTTTTTAGGTTTAGAAAGAGGAAAGAGACTGTGAGGAGAAATGGTGTGTAAAGCAGCCATTTTTTGTTACTGAGTTGAGGTTGGGAGGAACTGAGTTGAGTTGACCGAGTATCAGTCTAACTGTTTGTTTCTCCAAGTTGGAGCGTGTGAAGGTAGTTAAATTATAAGGATAGGTGCCTGATTTGGTGTGCTGTGGACTACGATATTATGTTATGCTTACCTAATTTTACTTTGATGAACAGTGGATGAGGGGTTGGTAATGTGGGATAGGGATACTGATTAGCGTAAATGAGGAGTGTTGAAATCCTATTTTGTGTCAGAATGTAGAGGATCCCTAATGGTCTGAAACTATTAGACAATGAATGAAGTCCACATAAATCAATAATTGGTAAACCTTAAACTTAGTCCTCTAACTATACACTTATTTTCAACTAAATAGCCAAACTAAAACTCTAATCAATTGAACTCTTAAAGAAATAGACATTCCTCAATTACGTCTTCCATGATTGTCTATTAGTGTTTTTCGTCTAAATTACATTATATATTTAATTAAATTACATCTTTTCAAGTAGAATTGGACTCTTTTTCAATATAAAATTGGAAGATTTTGATTAGATACCTTGAGAATCTAATTTTATTTTACAGATTATATTAATAATTAGTTCATAATTGGAGGACTAATTTAAGGTTTGCATCCTATGAGTATGTGGTAAAAAATTAATGCAATTATCAAAAAATTCGACTAGAGGAATAAAATTAAGACGCAAATTAAAAGTAGAGAAACACGATTATTGAAAAAATTAATGAAAGAACATATTTAAAACAAATAAAATAGTATAAGGATATGTTGGACTTTTAATCCAAAAAGAAATGGTTACCTCCCTTGTTTTTTCTTAATAGAACAAACCTAGTCGGGAGCAGTTTTTTCACTCTCTTTTTTTCTTTCTTCTATTTTGTTCATAAAGTTCTACATCTAATTTTCTTTTTTATTTGATTTTTTATATTAATAATCTGATTTTATCTTCCATTTATCAAGTTCTACATCTAATTAAATTACATCTTTTGAAGACGAATTTGACTCTTTTTTAATATAAAATTGAAAGATTTTGATTAGATATCTAGAGAATCTAATTTTATTTTACAGATTATATTAAGAATCAGCCCATAGTTGGAGGACTAATTTGAGGTTTGTCCATGTAGAAATTGATAACATTCAAAAGAAGAAATTGAAATGGAATATTTCGGCAAGACAACGTGGCTAATACATTTTGATTCCTTGGTCACAAAAAATTTCAATTTGCTAAATTTGACTTCGATTACAAGACCTACGGATCATCGGATGTGGGGTCCTTTTTAATCTATAACTGCAACCCCAAGTTCATTGGCAGTCCACACATTGTGGATGGGGCCATATGGATTCGCCAACACATTGAATGGGCATGAAAACTACGTTCCAAATATCTCTCGGTGAGTGATTCTAGATAATCTACTTTCATGTACTTTTTTTGCCCCAATTTTTGTAAACCATATAGTTTTCCAAGGTTATTATTAGAACATGTGGATGTTTTTTTGTTTGCACTTGGAAAATAATAAAGTGGTGGAGTACATGGAATGGAAGGTTTGAAAAAGAAATGGTTACCTCCCTTGTTTTTTCTTAATAGAAAAAACCTAGTCGGTAGCATTTTTTCACTCTCTCTTTTTCTTTCTTTTTCTATTTTAATAAATTTTGATTTCGTTCATCAAGTTCTACATCTAATTTTCTTTTTTTTTTATTTGATTTGTTTATATTAACAATCTGATTTTATCTTCCATTTATCAGGTTTATGTTTCATTTTAAAAAAGATTTGTTATTATATATTTTTTATTTAAAAGTAATTGTTATTAGCTGAAAATATCAATTATAAAAAGACGATATCTTCTATTTGTAAAGTTTGATAGTGCGACAAATTCCTTAATACATTGATGATGATTTGAGAATTTTTTACATATGTGAATTGCAAAAACAATTTTATATATTTTTAAAAAATTCTCAATATAAAAGATTAGATAATCTAATTTGACATCCACAAACATGCTATAAAATATAAATGTCCAATTTAAAAAAAATTAAACAACTAGTCATAGATGATGAAATCAAACAAAGTCTTTTCGAATTCTTCTTGAAGAATCAAATGGAAAAGATTTAGTCCTTAACATCATAGAGGACTCATTAGAAGAGGATAATTCACCCTCATCCTCTAATGGAGTAGGAGAAACTTTTGAGCATCCTAAAAAGGATTGTAAGAAAGGATACGACTATGACAACTGTCTCACCAAAGATATTTTAGATTAAGTCTAAACTTCTTGTCAAAAGAAGAATCGCTCATCTTGGACCCGATTGATAAGATACAAAATTCTAATGAAATGGGAAATGCTCTTGAAAAATACATCTAACTCTATCAGACTATTGCAAAACCTCCCTCAAAGCTTTCTCTATTGAAACCTCAAATAAATTATCCTACCTCTTTACAAGAAATCTTGTCTAGAGCTAAACACTCCAACAAAGAACCAACCATTCGCTGAACTTAAAGATGAGATCAATAGAGCTAAATAGGAAATTAGAGAACTCAAAGCCAAAGTTTCCAATTTAAAAAGCACTTCAAATGCTAGCCTAGTAGCTTGGCATCATTCGATTCGGATGATGAACCAGGATCCTTATATCTAAGTAATAAGATGAGAGACGAAGCAATAAGACTAGAGACTAATTGAGTTAATGATGTCTTTAATCCAATGATAAAATACTTGATGTGGATTAATAAGTTAGACATGGTAATAACTTAGAAATGATATACACATAATGAGTTTAGTTTTAAAACTAAAGGCTTAGTAGATTTTAGTGTTGATTTGAATTGTATATCAAAAGGTTTAATCTCATTTCTCTAAAACCACCCAAGTTTTAATGTTTTTTAATAAGCAATCCTTAATTATTAATTATAAGCTCTCTAATGCCGATGTCCGTAATAATGGAGTCTTCCTAGACATGCCATTTGTGATGGTGAAGAATCTTTCTCCCGGAGTCATTCTAAGCAATCCATTCTTACATCTGCTATTTCCCATCTCTAAGATTGACGATGAAGGAATAATAATAAAGGTAGCATGACATCAACTAAATTTTAGTTTTATCAAGCCACTTATCATCCATGACATCAACTTCTTTTAATACAAAAGTTGAATTTCTTATTCTCCCTTAAAAAGAAGTACCTTATAAAAAAGAGGAATAGTAAGAAGCTAATCCAGCTATTAGAAGAACGATTAAGAATTTACAACTCTTCATTCGAAAGGAAGTCCGTGTAGAAATTCTTAATACATTTTGGACCAAAAAGTAACATTCAATCCATCTTCCTTATGAAGAAGAGTTTAAAGAAATCTAAATTCCAACAAAGCCCCAACCCATTGCAATGAGCCCTAGATATTTAGAGCTATACAAGAAATAGACGAGTTGAGGTCATTCAAAAGTGGTCTAATTAGGCCTAGTTTCAATCCATGGAGCTGCCTAGCCTTCTATGTCAAAAATATAGCAGAAGCTGAAATGAAAAGCCTCAAGGCTCGTTATTGATTATAAGCCTTTAAATAGAGTGTTTAAGTGGATTCACTAGCCAATCCTAAATAAAAAGGATCTATGCACTAGGCTTCATAAGGCCAAAATATTCTTTGAGTTTGATATAAAATCAAGCTTTTGGAAAATCCAAGTTATTGAGAAGGACCATAAAAAAATGGACTTCATTATTCCATTCGACCATAATGAATGGAATGTCATGCCCTTTAGGATTAAGAATACTCTAGCTAAATTTCAATAGATCATGAATGACAACTATAATCCTTATTTAAGATTCATCATTGTTTACATTGATGATGTTCAGTCTTTTCAAAATCTATAAATAAGCATTTCAAGCATATGAAGGCATTCCTAACGACCATTAAAAAAGCAAGTTTAGCTATCATCTAAAAAGACAAAGTCTTTGCAACCTAATATCCAATTTTGAGAGTTTAATGTATCCAAATGTTTAGTTATCCCAATTGATAGAGCCATTATATTTGCAAATAACTTCCGAAACGAGATTAAAGATAAAATCCAAATACAAATATTTTTGGAAAGCCTAAACTATGTAGGCGAATTCTATAAAGAACTAGCTTTAGATTGTAAACCCTTATTTCAATGGTTTAGAAAAAACCTTATGCCGTCGACTAACAAGCAAACAATTATAGTCTAAAAAATTAAAGCAAGAGCTAAAAATGTCTCATCTTTAGCTATCTCCAATCCCAATCACTTTAAGATTATAGAGACGAGATGCTTCTAAGATAGGCTATGGTGAGATTCTTAAACAAAAATTCCAAGCAGGTAGAAAACAATTAGTTATATTTACTTTAGGATGATAGAACCCATCTCAACAAAACTATTCAACCATCAAGAAAAAGATTCTGTCCATGGTCCTATGTGTCATTAAATTTAAAAGTGATCTAGTCAATCAAAAATTCTTATTAAGGATTGACTATAAGTTTGTTAAAGATGTCTTAATTAAGTATCTTAAAAATATTATATCTAAATAGATATTTGCTCGATGGCATACCATTTTGTCTATCTTTGATTTTGATATCAAGCATATTAAAAGAGAATTAAATTCATTACCCGATTTCTAAATCGAAGAATTCCTATAAGGATTAAAAGTTAAAATCGATCCGGAGGTCTCTAAAATTCAAGCAGCTTTCCAACCTTAAAAGGGAAAGAGAACTAACTTCTAAGTAGACCTCATCTAATGAAGATGATGGCTCTAAAATCGTCTATGAAGCCTATATTATACGATTGGACCTTAATAATGCTAGTGAGGTGAAGTACTCGTATATCTCAAGACCATTAATTTAGTTGTATCCCTTTAATGATGATGTAAAAGACATGACACCTTATCAAGTTGCTAATATAATGCTAATCGGGCATTACCCTTCAACATCGGTAAAAGGGAGTTTTTTACAATCAAGTCATTTTTATTAAGACTGGCCTAGCTGTGTGCTTCGATCAAAATAGA